CGAACAATCAGGTTTAGTAGTAATTGTCTGAACGCGACTCTGTTTCGAACTGCCTCTGACTCGACTGACTGACTCGCTCGCTCTGACTGACTGACAGACTCCTGACGGACCTCACTCCAGACTTCAGACTGAACTCCCTGCTTCCTCTTGAGGCGCAGTATTTATTACGTATGGAATAGTCCATTATGTTATTATGGGTAAGGTCCCATAACAAGCAGATACACAGATATATAAAGGGGGGGGGTAAGACAAGGGTGTGTCTTCTCACCGGATTTATTCAACCTATACAGCGAGGCAATTCTGAGAGAATTAGAAGTCCTACCAGGATTCATTATTGGTGGCCACAATCTTAAAAGTTTATGCAGATGACGCAATGTTGGTAGAAGACACGAAAAGAAAGCTACAAAAACTCCTAGAGAATGCAGTGAAGGAAAGTGAGAAGAAATGATTAATATCAACTTCAAGAAGACGGAATGCGTGGTTGTTAGCAAAAGGCATGAACCCAAAGCATGAATTGCAAATTGAAAATACCAAAATCAAACAAGTGCTGAAATTTAAATATCTGGGAAGTGCAACACTGGAATCTGAAAGCGCATTGGAATATCCAAAGACATATTCCAAAACTAAGCCAAATATTAAAAGACAGAAAAATTTCATTAGAAACAAAGAAAAAGGTACTGGACTGTTACGGGGTTCTTCTATATGGCAGTGAATGCTGGGAAATCTCCTCAAATATGACAAAGCAACAGAAATGTGATTCTACAGAAGAATACTGAGGATACCATGGGCCAAACATGTGAGCAATGATGAGGTTCTGGAGAGAATGGAAACAGAAAGGAAACTTATACTTAACATCAGGAAGAGACATTTGAAATTTTTGTGACATGTAATGAGGAAAGAGGGCTTGGAAAATCTGATACTCACAGAACGGATAGAGGGACAGGGGAAAGCAACACGTGGTATACTTAATGGGCTTGAGCAAGTGGATGGCGGAAGAAGGTCTGGGAGAAATAACAGAAAGACAAAACTTATTAAGAGCTACAAGGAACAGGAGGACAAGGAGGACCATGATCGCCTACATTCTGAATGGATACGTCACATAAAAGAAAAAGAATATACGGAAGAACTAAGAAATAGACACAGATGATTTGATCTTTGATTTGATCTTTGATTTGATCTTATGTACTGTCCTAAAATTTTAGCTATTCCTAGTTATTCCATACAATGACGCGTTCTCCACTTTGCCGGCAAGATGTCTAACAAACAGTAACTGTAGCCCCTTTAGCTACAAAGTTAAGTAAGTCGCTTTTTTTTTTCTTCACTAGTCCTTGAACGACCGAAAAAAAATTGTTGGCTGCTTTCCACGAGAAAAGGACAACGCATTTATACCTTCCCCACTTCCCACTTCCGCCTTCTTTCTCCCCTCCTTCCAACTCCTGTCAAAAGAGCTTTACATCCAAAGGGAGACAACCTTTAATCAAACACTATTGTAACAGTTACAATAGCCACATCACGGACGGAAGCACACACTGGAAACTGACAGCAAGACGGGGAGGAAAAAAAGAGAAAATGATGATATAAGCATCTACGAAACACAAATCTCAGATTTTCCACTCGATGGCATCACAAGAAAGTTGTTTTGTGAAAATCCTCGCCCAGACAACTTTGTAATATCCTTCACAATTCACTCTCTAAAGATATGCTGAAGTAGACATTTTGTTCGATTGATTGATTTGCTTTATACGGCTTTTCAACCTCTTATAGGATATTTAAAGCCAGAAAATATTTTTAGATTTCAAGAATTGGGGTGGATAACAATGATTTACTGATACACGTTTTACTAATTAACCCATAGCTGGGAGGAGAAGAACCGGATTTATAGCTTCATAAGGTAAGTGAGTATAACGAACACAACTGCAATTAGAACTCAGGTCGCCGATTTCCAATTCGGTGCCATTATTCATTACACCAGCCGCACATCCAAGCTCACAGCATCAAGCGGTAACCCATCTAGATACTGACCAGGCTCGAAGTTGTTTAACGTCTTTCAACGTGATATGACCATAATACCTTTTGTTTGAAGGTTTTCCTTTTCTTGTTTCCCCACTGAATGATTTAAGAGTTAAGAAACGAGGATATATTCACTTTTCATTTTATTTAAAAAGAAGCGCGAATGGTTTCAATCCGATCTACCATTTGTCCAACATCTATACTTCTGTGATCTTCACGAGTGCCCAGACGATGGCGATGACTTTGTCTAGAAAAATAAATTTAACATACTGTATATCACTTAAAATCAAAATAAAATGTTCTAGAATTCTCTTACAAACAACCACTGAAGTAGTAGTAGGAGGAGAAGGAGTAAGTATCAGACATAATGGTAGCGTCGTTTGATCAAAATTCAATGCTTTGGTGTTGAGACTGGAATGATCAGAACGCAGTCTTGGAGGATACTATATGAAGATTGGGCTACATACCCCCCCCCCCACAACTAACAATCGCACTGACAAAATCCAAAGAAAGACTGGGTATTACATTTGGGACCGGCTTCGCTACAGGAGAGCCGGAAGTTTTTCAGTGTTGATAGACAAGCACCTTTGGGGCTCCATTCCGGATTTTCTGTCTACATTTACTTCCATAGCCTTTCCTGTGTTTGGATATGACCGCAATGTCGCAGAGGTTTTAAAATCACGGTTTTCCTTCCTCTACTGGGACTTCCTTCCCGGCTGAAAAGTTCCATCTACACGAAGAATTATATTTGTTCACGAAATGAGGTTGAACACCCCTTCACAATAAAAAAAAAGTATTAGCTCTATAAAGATGGCATAAGTTTGGCCAACACGCAAATTAATTTGAGTTACAGGTGAAAAAAGGAAATATTTTAGACCGAAAACATTTTCGCTGATAAGAATGGCTAGTTATTCCTATTTTGTTACTATTTATGTCATCTGAACCATCCAGTTATCTGACCTTTTTTCGAAGACTCCTGTCTAAAACGTCAATGAAAAATAACCTGGGGATCGAATGTAATTATTTTTTCTTTATATCCTTGTCGTTGACTGTCGAACTCAAATCTTGGACTATTTAGGTTTCTTTTTTTACACAGAATCGATCAGCTAACTTCCAACGAGAGTCGCTTCGATGGTGTTTTCAACCACCACAGATACATATATATTTTTTGCAAGAAGTATAAGCAATAATTTAAAATAAATGCCAGATTTTTGTTTCCCTAAAAAACAGATTCATTCTGGAAACTGCACATTCAACTGGTTTTAATAAAACTTCAAGGAAGATATTCGAAAATAATTTCTACTGTATGAAATCATCAGATAATTAAGGTTGGTAATATCAAAAATGCTAGAATCTAATTCACTTAAACTTACATGGGTTAATTATAAATTTTATAATATAATGATCCAATTTTTCTATCTTTGTGTGTTTACATAGCAAAAATGCACAATGCAACGCAACTTTTGTTAGCGGAATACCGTTTCAATATTCTAGCTCTGTTTACTTGGTTTATGAGTAATTTTCAACTAATTGACAAAATATTATGCCCAAGAGAAATAACTTCAGCTCTATTAAATCCTAATTACAGAGTTTTCATATTGAGAAAATAAGAGGAATAACTAGAGAAAAATAATTAACCTACCTGCACTCTCGTCCGTCAGCCATAGTGATATTCAAGTAAAGATATTTTGATAATAATTAATAATAATTAAGTATAGTGATAATTATCATTACAAAAAATAGAAAATAACTTCTATAAAGAGGAAATACCTTGATATTGAGCAGAGAGAAAGTAACATTTAATCGGATTTTTCGTATGGATGGAAAATTTCACTTCAAGTATAAAACATTTGTTAAATCTTGCCTATTAACCACATTCGTTTGAAAATAATTTTAACTATTGCATGCTTAATTACTTAAAAATTATCAACCATAATTTAATTGCAAATATGACGATGTTTCCAAATCGTGTAGATTAACAGTCACTAAAAAACGAATTTAACATTGAGGTCGGAATTCGGTACAAAATATTGCAATATGGGCGCCTTTTGTAAATCCATGATTTACCTCCCTTCTAGTATGACTTTGTGTCAGACAAAGCCACACTTAATACATATCGATTTGGTTTTAGGAATCTTTGATTCTAACTGGGTACTCTATTATTGTGTCCTTGTGCCAAACTAAGATAAGCTTAGTAAATATCTACACACTCCTGGATTCAAATTCTCAATAACTGTTTGTTTAAAAAGTTGCTTGAGACTACAGTTTATCTTCTGTCATATTTTTTGTTAATGTTAACCCAATACATAGCTCAAGAGACACTCAAGGTAGAGGGTTGCAGTGGGCTTATATTAGTGTAGAAAAGAAAAAGCGTTAAGGGTATACCGTTGCAGCAGACTTTAAAAGGTACCGGAAACCCAATCCTAAGTAGAAAACAAGAGGTAAACCTCTTCTCCTGTTCAAAAGACCGGAGAGGAGTGTAACCGGACGATAGGCGAACCTATATTTACTTAGTACGATATTTGGAAGAAATGCAGAATAGCAAGATTGCGTTGAGCCAAATTTGTAAGTGGGGAATCCCGGAAAATCTGAATTCGAAATATTGGTTTTTACGTCGAGGTTCGAACACCAAGCGGAAAATTTATCCCCGTTATAAGTCACAAGATTACAGGATTTACTTGAGCCCCAAAATTCTGAACTGAAATTATGAAGTATTTTTCCCAGAAGTTAAAGCTTGGATTTTGAATTTAAAACAAACAAACTGGTTATTTCAAAACGCACTGATTAACGATTAGATAAGACGTCCTTTCATTTTATTATCCAATGTCGTCTTTTTTTCTTTTTTCAATATTCGACATAATATTTTGACGGGGTTCACGCCTATCATTTTTTCCCCGAGCAAAACGCTAAGAAAACGCCACCGGATTGAAGAAAAACAATTCATTTGTATCTTTTACAAACGGAAACTGATTTTCAATTCTGTGTCAAAAATGAAGAGAGTCGCCCTTCCAAGAAAACAAAATCAATTATGCAAAGAGATTGTCGACCAGATAAAAGAAGGGTTCGTCGAGGAAAAAAAAGAAAACACAACAAAAAAATGGGACACCGGGTCGGGGAAAATCTGGAACGGAAATGAATTTCATGGGAAAAGGTTTGATTAAAACGGGTCAGAGTCAAGATCACATTTCCTCAATCTGCTCAAAGCTGCGTTCGGTTCAAGGAGCCGAAGAGTCGATGGCGGTAAAGGCGGACAGGAAATATTGAAAGAAGGAAGTTCCCAGCAGTCTTTGAATAAAAACAATAGAGTACAGAAGTCACATCAGAAGAGGGGTGGGAAGGAAGAAAAGGGATTATACGAGGGCGAGGGATAACAGCAAAAAAAAAAAAAAGGAAAAACTACTAAATTTTTAATTTCTTGTGTGAAAGAATACTAACTAAAGTTTGATTCAAAACACAGGATCAGAGAATAATTATAAATATCCACTCAACACACGTACACACACACACACACTTCACTGAACATATATATGTGTGTGCGTTTGTGTGCGTGCGTTTTTGTATGCGTGTGCGTGTATGTGTGCGTGTGTAAAAATTTAGATATAAATAAAATGTCCCTAAAAAGACAATATGAATAAAAATAGAAAACTTTACTTTACCAACGCGTTTCGTCCTCTAATGGACTTTATCAAGGTAAATGTAAAGGTCCTTACATTTACCTTGATAAAAAAAAGTCCATAAAAGGACGAAACGCGATGGTAAAAAAAAAGTTTTCATGCTGTCTTTATAAACATATATAAAGTATAGCCAGACGTCAGATTGCTTCTATCGAGGATCGAAACCCGACCAATTCGAAATTAGTCAGAGATCCTGCCACTAGGCTAGCGTCGCACAGTAGAGAGGATGGGAAATTTTAACGTTTTCTATTCGAAATACGACAGTAGTCCGAAGAACTCAATTCACTCAGTTGTATGGATATGAGATTTGCGACCATCAGACGAGATTTTGTTGAATGAACGCAAAAGCGTGAAACACTGGGTCACAAACTCATATCCATGCAACTGAATATGTTAACTTTATCACTGATATTGAGCGGTTTCCACTAAGTACTGAGCATATAAAATAAAATAATATATATATATATATATATATATATATATATATATATATATATATATATAAAAAATATAAAATATGGTTATATAATGTTCATAGGTCATATATTTAAATAGTTGCTTGTGTTTTATATACATGAGTGTGCAGATGTACAAGACACGTCTATATTCAGAGGTGGCCTTGCTTTTGCAAGTTTTTATCTGAAGAGACTAAAATCTATTGGTGTATAATGATATCAACTTATGCGGACGACATTATCCGATGCACAATATTTGCATTAGAATCTAAGGATTTGCTTAAACCTTTGCATGCAAACATTCAGACACTTACGAAAAATACTTCCTATATATAACACATAGCAATACTTTCAACGTGTATACATGTGTGCGTGCGCGGACTTGTTTGAGGGTTTATTCATTAAAAGCTGATTAATTGAGATGATTTTAATGAAAAATTAACGTAAAAGAAATATATCCACCCGAGACAACATAATTGCGAATATCGAGAAATATGATTATGCATGAAGATTTTTATCTCACACTTCCTAATCCATCTCTCTCTCTCTTCCACTCATTTCATATCTACCTATATATATATATATATATATATAGATAGATAGATAGATAGATAGATAGATAGATAGATAGATAGATAGATAAGGAACACACACACACACACACACACACACACATATATATATATATAAATATAAAAGTGAACATAGAAGTCAACACTTAAAAGCGACAGTCTGTTTCGTGCTAGATGCAATCGTCAGGGCTATATATATATATATATATATATATATATATATATATATTCACTCATTTCATATCTACCTAATATATATATATATATATATATATATATATATATAGATAAGGAGCATATATATATATATATATATATATATATATTCCTTATCTATCTCAGTCTGTTCCTACGTATCTATCTATCTATCGATCTCAATCTGTACATTATTTATCTATCTAAACCTGTTCATATCTATATATCTGTGACAGTCTATTCATTATCTATATATCTATCTAAACCTGTTCATATTTATATATCTATCGGCCACAGTCTGTTAATTATCTATCTATCTATCTATCTATCTATCTATCTATCTACCTACCTACCCACGTATCTCAGTCTGTTCATATCTATCTCAATCTGTTCATCAGTTCTCTATCTAAACCTGTTCATATCTATCAATCTGCCACAGTCTGTTCATTATCTATCTATCTATCTATCTATCTATCTATCTATCTATCTATCTATCTATCTCAGTCTGTTCATTATCTATCCAATTCATCTATCTCGATCTGTTCATATTTATCCATGAATTGAAGATCAAATGTAGATCAGATATGAATAGGAATTCGACAAGATGATAAAATGAAATAAAGAACAAAGTATAAAACGAATCACAATCTAACATGTTTCACCTTCATTAAGACTTCATCAGAGATCAAGAATAGAAATGAAAAAGCAAAGAGATATAATATATTATGATTTTTTGGTTAGTTTTCATTGGTCAGATACGCGTCACGTGGATAAACGCAAAAAATAATATATAAATATGTGTGAGGAACATTTAGAGTGTTAAAAGTGTGTGATAGTGTAAGAATGTGTAAGTAAATAAATGCTTGTGTGTTTAGGTGTGCGTAGGACGGTAACGTTAATTCATGTAAGTGTATACGTGTGTATATGAGATGTCAACCCCGTATTTTGTCGGTGAAATGTTGCAAAATAATTTTGTATTTAGATGGATTTTCTATGTGTGTGGGGAAGTAATAATTTAGTTTTGGTTAGAATTAAGATGCGTAATTTTGGAAATATCTATCTCAGTCTATCTATCTATTTATCTAACTAAAACTGTTCATATCGATCTGTTACAGTCTGTTCATTATCTATCTATCTATTTATCTATCTATTTATCTAACTAAAGCTGTTCATATCGATCTGTTACAGTCTGTTCATTACTTATATATCTATATAAACCTGTTCATATTTACCTATCGATCTGTCACAGTCTGTTCATTATCTGTCTATCTATCTATCTATCTATCTATCTATCTATCTATCTAAACCTGCTCATATATATCTGACACAGTCTGTTCATTATCTATCTATCTATTAGCCTATTAATATCTATCTATCCGCCTGTTCACATCTATCTATCTATCTATCTAACAAAGACATACATACTCCGTCTGTTCATATCTATCTCTGTTAATTATCTATCTACCTATCTCAGTCTGTTCATATCTATCTAGCTATCTATCTATCTATCTATCTTAGTCTTTTCCTTATCTGTCTCAATCTCTTCATTATCTATCTAAACCTGTTTATATCTATATATCTATCTGTCAGTCTATTCATTATCTCTCTCTCTCTCTGTATATATATATATATATATATATATATATATATAACGTCATCCACAGACAGACTGTTTCGCTGTTTCACAGCTCATCAGTGTGGCTAGACATCCGGTTGCCTCTAGCTAGGATCGAAACCCGACTGAATTGGTGTCAGTCGGAGATTCTAACCATTAAGCCGTCGGTAGGGATGAAAGTGGATTTTTTAGCGTATTTATTTTTAGAAACACGCCCAGTGACCGACAGTGACTCAATTCGCATCTGCGAAGAGTCTCGCTATATCGCTATAATAGTCACTGTTTACCAACCCACACCTCGTCCCCAGAGAGCTCAAATGAAATTGATATTTCAGGAGCCAATATAATATAATATATATATATCACAGTCCGTTCATTATCTATCTATCTATCTATCTATCTATCTATCTAAATTTGTTTATATCTATGTTCATACCAGTTTATAAATCAATTCATCTACCAAATCTATGTCTGTACATGCCTAAATCTGAAAAACAAAACAACACACGCACATATAGGCGCTTGAATATCTCAATTTGTTAGTACCTATCTATCTATGGACATGTATGCGTGGGTTTGCATATTGTGCACCAGTTATATGAGAATACATCTTTAGTGGCTCATAAATGAAAGACATCCTAACGTAATAGTATACAGCATGCGTCAAAAATCAAAATTCTCATTTCTCTTTATTGCGTGTGGAGACCCTTTAACATGGCGTTTTCCAATCTGACACAAGAAATGAAAACTCAGTCTACAGACACCGGGTTGGATCAGCACATCCTTGAATATGACCAGGTCAACAGGAAGAAAGGAAAGTGACCATGCGCGGACCACACGGTGGTACCGAAGATTATGCGCACCAAATTCTCCTGTGATGGTCCCGGAGGGGGGCGGGTATAAACAATGAGGGCAATGACATGACATCACACTTTTTCCTGTAGGGCCTCAGGTAAATGCAACCGTTTGCATACGCACGATGATCAAGTTTTGGATTGAGATGCTGGCCACACGTATCCCAGCATGACTCTGTTCTATCTCATCTAAAATGGCTGTTCGATAATTTTCTGTCATGTCAGCTCCACTACTCTACCTTTTAGCACTCCAGATTTGTATCTCATCGGCGTCTACGTTTAAGCGGGGCAGTCCCACAATACCAAAAAGTCGTTGAAAGATGGTGTCGGAAATGTGCTGACTAATATGTGGATCAGCAGTCAATTTCGAAACCACATCTAAGTAGCCCTTTAAGCTGGGGCCAATTTTATTAAATAATCTTCTAAGTTGAACGTTGACAGAAATATATTTGAAAATATATTTTCAAAATATTTCTACGTATTTTTATTGGATATTTTTATTTACTTTATTTGGTCTGGTGGCCCTGCCATATATCTCGATATTTTCGACAAAATTCAAAGAAGTGTCTGTAACATTATCGGTCCTGACCTGGCATCTCGACTTCAGTCACTATCCTACCGAAGTGTTGCGGCTTCTCTATCTCTTTTCGGTAAATATTTTTATAGCAGTTGTTCTAATGAGCTCTCCTTCTTGTTACCTCGACCGTGTGAAATTAAGTGTATTACTAGCTTAGCAACCAGGTTTTACTGTTGAAATAATTAAATGTAACCGTAAGTTCTATTCTAATAGTCTCTTTTTTCGTACTTCTCGCCTGTGGAAATCTCTTCCGGTTTCTTGTTTTCCTATCAACTAGGGTCTTCAAAAATGTCAATTCAACGTCAGTCGCCATCTTCTGCCTGTATGAATAATGTTCTTTTATTTTCCTTTCTCCTCAATAAATTATTCTGATTCTTTTTCATTCTCAATATTCCATGATGTCTTAGTTATATTATCGCCTTTCTTGGAGGTGAAATGAAAAGGAATTGTGCGTTGAAGGTGTCGTTTACCTTAATCTTTCTTGCAGAGTATCCTATCAAAACCAAAATGGCGGCGCTCATGAAAAATCACCATCAGCGTCTTTATAGCTGTTTATTTCCAAGAAAAGATAGAGTCATTTGAGAGTATTGCTACACGTGTATATGGAGAGTTTGTTGTACTTCTGTTTAAAGCGATATAAGTGTAACAAATATTTCTGTTAACCAGAGTATGATTTCGATAACATTGTAACTCCTACTGATTTTACTAAAAGGAGTAATAAAGGACTAATTTTAGTAGAGCCTAATGTGGGATTTACAGAAACAGCTTGAGTTATATGTTCTTTTGTAATGTAGCGAATAGATAAGCTGAGAGGTAAGTTAATATTTTATGGAGGCAGTAATATTTCGAACTCGATGCTCAGGAGATATAACAAATAGTCCTAAATAAGAAAAGAAAAAAAAAACAGATTTGCACTTAATCACCCTTCTTTATCACATACTTTGATCTTTTGTTATAAGTCTCAGGTTCTATAAACCATAAATAAAAGCCGTGTGCGTGACTCCGTTTGAAGAAAGTGTTTTTTTTTTGGGGGGGGGGGTTGCCCACTCACAAGATGTAAAAGTCAACACGCAATATTGATTTCATCATAAGACTCTTCGATTACACGATCTTTAACTTAGATATGGGAGCATTGCTGCTATATCTGGGCTTGCGCTGACCAATCATCTCCTTCCAGTTTTGGTAGAGTTCAAAATCGTTTCTGCAGTCTGAGTGAGGAATGACAATCCCCCACAGCAGCTATTTTCCAAAAGATGAAACATCTCAAGCCTATCTCTATTCTGTTGTTATTTCCATGATAAATGTACATACGAGCTGCATTCTTTCGTTTCGCCAGTTCAGATCTTTACAGCTCCCACGATTACTACAATCTTAACCTCTTCAAGTCTACGGTCAATTGTTATCTATCCTACATATCCTCATGATCTGCATTTTCTTCCTCCTCTTTCGACCATGCAACAATTTCGTTCAATAAGATCTATAGGAACTGCTCAGCAACCTTGACATATTCGCGAAGGATATTAGACTAATCCAGAACCTATACTGGCAGCAAACCACCTGCATACGGACAGAAAATGAATTCGGCATATATACAAAAATACAAAATGGAGGGGGTATGACAAGGATATGTATTCTAACCGGATTTATTCAACCTATACAGCGAGGCAATTCTGAGAGAATTAGAAGTCCTGCCAGGATTCATTATTGGCGGCCACAATCTAAGGTATACAGATGACGCAGTGTTGGTAGCAGACATGGAAAGAAAGCTACAAAAACTCCTACAGGATGCAGTGAAGGAAAATAAGAAGAAAGGATTAAATATCATCTTCAAGAAAACAGAATGCGTGGTTGTTAGCAAAAGGCATGAACCCAAAGGGAAAATCAGAAATACCAAAATAAAACAAGTACAAAAATTTAAATATCTGAAATGAAAAGAAATTGTGTTGAAGGTGTCGTTTACCATAGTCTTTCTTGCAGAGTATCCTATCAAAACCAAAATGGCGGCGCTCATGAAAAATCACCATCAGTGTCTTTATAGCTGTTTATTTCCAGGAAAGATAGAGTCATTTGAGAGTATTGCTACACGTATATCTTCTAACAGATGACGGAAAGTGCAATACTGAAATCCGAAGTCGTATTGGAATAGCCAAAGATGCCTTCCAAAAGCAAAGCAGAGTATTACGAAACAGAAAAAAATCGTTAGAAACAAAGAAAAGAGGAATGAACATCAAAATATTTAGCGTCCTGTTTATTTCTCAGTTTCAACAACAGATATTTGTCAACGGGGAAATCAGCAGAGCCGAAATAGCAAGGCTTATATATAACGTCATATTTAATATTTAATATACATGTATGTATGTATATATAGATATATATGTGGATGTGTGTGTATGTATCTAATATTTAATATATATATGTGTATTTATGTGTATATATGTATTTAATATTAACATGTATTTATGTATATATATATATATATATATATATATAAGTGAACATAGAAGTCAACAATTAGAGACGACAATCTTTTTCATGCTATATGCAATCGTCTTTATATATATATATATATTTATATATATATATATAATATTTAATATATATATATATGTGTGTGTGTGTGTGTGTGTGTGTGTGTGTGTGTGTGTGTGTGTGTGTGAGTGCACGCACGGTCGTGTATGGGTGTTTTTTTTAAACGTATAAACATTTTATGTATATTAATTTTAACTATAATTGTCTTTTTTACTAAATTGCGAATGATCTTTCCCCAAGCTGGCTGCTGTTGATGCACGGAATTTCTCGGAGCAATATAATTGACCTATGCGAGCTTTTGACTCATGTGAGTCATCATGAGGATTATGTGGGTAATGCATTTACGATCGTTATAAACAATAGGTGTTTAAGTAAAATAGCAGAAAGAAAATCATGGGATACATTTAATGTCTCCATATTTCTGGCTATTTATTTTTTAATTGGATAGAATCCAAATGACAGGAAGCCTTTACCCTCATACGTCACGATCATTTGTGATGACGTTTTTTAAACATTGAAAAACTGCATATATATATATATATATATATATATATACACACACACATATATATATATATACACACACATATATATATATACACACACATATATATATATATATATACACACACACACACGCACACACACACATATATATATATATATATATATATATATATATATATATATATATATATATATAGAACCCAGTCTGTCCTGCTATTTTACCCATAGCTGGAGGGAGATGAAGAGGATTCATACCTTTCCCAAGGGTATTAGCACGTAAGTGAATGTAATGGATAGCCTTGGATGGCAACTGGTCTAGGAGAAGGACAACTGAATTCAAAACCTGCGGAGGGTCGTTTGGGAACCTTGTGGCATTCGGTGCACCAGGTTTCTGTATTCGTCCCTCCAAAAAGTGTGGCTGGTCCTGCACGAGGCCTTCACCACTATAATCAAATCTCATGTGCCGATATCGGGATGTCGGTTTCCTGGAAACTTATCGGCCTGACCCTCATACGTCGAACTCGACGGGAGAGTCGATTATTATATATATATATATATATATATATATATATATATATATATAAAAAGAAGTAATGGATTTTTATATAAATTTATCATCCTATAGATTGTATTACTTAAACATTAATTTTACTGGATATTCATATTTCAGTAGATACTCTGTCTATTTATTAAACGGTATATCTATTTTTCTCCCGGTCTGAATATTCGAAAATTCTTATTAAAGAAAAATATACGCCTTCTGGTCTGTCGGATTAGTAAATAAAAATCCATTACTTTTTTAGAAATTGCTTTGTTTACGAATGAGCAGATATGAAAATTCGAGATCTATGACGAGAAGGATTTCGTTTAAAGGTACTAGTCGCCTCCTTAGGCCGACTAACGATCTTTGTGGCTAAGTCAGTATAAACCCGGCGGCATTAACGACTTTTCTTCACCTGACCAGGGGATACAAGTTCGATTCCTGCCAGAGGGTGTATGTTTTTCTTTAAATAAGATTTCACGATTATTCAGATCGCTACTGATTTTTACATACATCAGAAGCAAACATTTATTGC